TCGGGGCCGGGAGTTGAGGAGCAAGAAAAGGGGGCAGTCGTATTACTACTACTGCACCTATCACTTGTTGCCCTTGCTCGTAGTATTACGAGTACTCTTGCTGACAATGTGTCTCACTACCAGCCAGCTACCTGTTGTGCTAGTACTATGTAGTATCAGGTTGTGCGGTGATGATGGCCTTTCCAGGTGGTGGTGACAAGCCCTGCTATGACGACAGCCGTACCTCGCAAATTGCTGCCCTGAAGGATCGTTGATGACAAGCCTTAGGGCTGCAAGGCAACTTGACATCGGCCTCTGTAGAGTCTCCGAGGCGGCACACACACATCCTCCATGCGGGATGGCTCGTAGCGCCTGATGCTGTTGGTCGGCCGGTTGGTTGTTTCGCTGGACAGGTGGGAGACGCAGCGGGAAACAGCCCCGGGAGGTGGCAGTGCCAGAAATTCTGCTTTTACACATCACATTGACCTGCTTGTACGACCCGGCACTCGCACATTACAGTACCAGACCGAGGCGCGGAGTGCTGCAGCAGTTGTGGGTGTAATGTCCGAAGACGGGATAAGACACGTTGGGCTTGGCTTGAACTGTATGCACCGGACGGTTCATGCTGGCCGCACCGCGTGAGGATTTCTCCGATACAAGTCGTCGGCTTATTCTTGGTGTATCAGAGAAAGAAACCACGCCTTCTTGCTGCTTGGGGGGATAATACAAGTAACCACCCCATGTGATAGTATAACCAAGCACAGTAAGATGCCAAGCATACATGTACAGTACATACATACTGGTAACGGTCAATAGCCCCCAAGAACAAAGACCCTCGCCCTACACAGTTCTGTCTCCCCCCCTCCCTTCCCCTCCTCTTGCTGCAACGTTAATTCTGTGCCTTTCCTCGCAATTCTTACTATTACTTTCAGACATGGGGACCCAAGACTTCGAAGTTTGAGACATGCAGCAATGCTTGCTGACAGGGCGGTAACAATTCCATATCCATGAGAGATGACGACCATGGGGGGTCTTCCGAGTCAATGATGAGTGTGGACGCAGTGGCACTCTAGCCCTACAGTGCTCAAACCTCTTTCCCTCAGCTGGTCATCGATAAGAACCCATCTTGAACATCCATCATCAATTATCAATCATCGTCAAACGTCAAGGGAATAAGCAGTGTTCGGAATCGCGTGCTCTGCGGATTGCATCCCGGGTAAGCTCCGACCAAGTAACTTTGTTCCCGTGAGAAGTGCTCCGATTAAAAAAAGGGACCCGATGCCGCGAGAGCGCGAAAGCGCGAGGCCATCTGGGGGGTGTGTGTGCGTGTGTGGCAGATGGATGAGGAGGTCAGAAATGAGGAGTGAGCGAGAACGAACGAACAAACAGACCAGAGCAGAAATAAGGGGGGGGGAGGGGGTGAGCGCAGAAGGAAGCCCGAGCCCAAGCACAATCCTGCGAATCAACGCTTCCCACTCGTAAAGCTCACGAATCAGGTGTTGGAGATTCAGCCATCCCGATCTACGATGGCGCTACCTCTTGTAAGCCCCCATCTTCTTAGCTAGCATGTCTTTTTGTTTTGGCTTTGCCTTTTCTTCCCTTTGGCTTATTTCCAGTTCGTCTCGTTCGTCATGGTCCCTTGCCGTGCCATGCGCGCTACTCGCTCTCTTTCATCCCTCCTCCCCCGTTTTTTCGCCTTGTCCCCTTTCGAAACCTTGGGACAACCAACTCGATGGCACTCCGTAGCGCCGGAGCCTTTGCCATCCTCGAACAAGGGAACGACAATCGTTCTCACGAAATCAGCCAAGCGAGCTGTGCGTTTGATGAGGCTTGTTCGCAAGCTTCATCAGTGTAAGAGAAGGTCATCATACGATGATCCTGTCCGCGTACCCTCATCTCCCCCAAGCAGAATGAATCATCACTATTATTATCCAGCACATTGTAACCTCACGCCCCTCCCTTTCAGCCCATCTCATACCGACCATCCGGCTGCCCTCAGCCGCAGGGCACACAAACTCCATGCCCTTCTATCGTCAACGCCCCCCCCCCCCCTTTCCGGCACGAGGTTGAGAACCCCAGCGGATGACCCATGATGAGGATAAGGCTGGCACACCCCCCACAGCCTTGCAAGGACGGCATGTCGAGGTAATCCGAAGCAGCCCTACCATGGGCCCCCAAACTAGCTAGTAGTAGCTTCCCGAGCCCTGTGTGCTCCATGCCTTGTCCAAAGTATAAGTCTTGAGGATGGAGAGCTTACGGCTCCAACTGCGTACAGTACGCGTACATTCATGGTGATTCTTGTCCCTTGGACTCCGCCCATGACGAAGAGCCATGTCGCCCTGAACAAGTGAAGCTTCCCTAGACCGGTGGCAAAGCTCCCTGTGACTTGGTATCATGTTGAGAAAGACAAGTCCTCGTACGAGCTGATATCAGTAGGTAGCCGGATATAACTCCGTACGATTTGCATCAATACTCCAGAGTACATAGTCGTCGAGCAAGACTAAAAATAACAAGAACCGGCGTTGCCACTTCGCACCAGGGCAAACAACAATGCAACGCCCGGTCAAGAGGAGGTCGCGACAAAACCCCGTAGGGTGGGAACAGGCAAAAGACGCCTTGATTCCCCCCTTGTAGCGGCGAACCAACGAAGGACACCAATCAAAGCATTGCCAAATGTTGTCAAGGCATCATTCATAATGTCTGTCACTGCTTATACCGGCAATTGCATTGTAGGCTTTTTAACCACTCCATTAGGTGCGTCAAATGGTTTCCTGCTCAGTTGACCAGTGAGAGTAATATCCGGGCCCCGTTCCATGAGAAAGCCGGGCTTATTGCTTAGGGTAGGGTAAGAGCTCAGGAGGACTGAGGACCTAGGGCTGAGGAATAAGGGGGGGTGTTCCATGGCCCTGAGTGGTTGCAACTCCTGGGTTGTATGTCACCAACGTCACTTGGCCGATCTCATTCAGCCATATCGCATAGTATGTAGAACTATATGCCCACTTCAAAGACAAGCACCGCAAGTCCAGAGTCGCATTAGTGCTTGCATCAACAGCGTCAGCCATGCCCAATAGTGCCACTGGACAATCGCCCTTGATATTCCAAAGGGAGCAATTCGTGATGGAGAAACAGGATATTCGACGGCCTAAGCTGGACCTATTGCACTAAGCACCTTCAGCTCTTGGCCTGGCGCCAGACCAGCGGTTCAGCCCCGGACGCCACGGACAACGTCTCTGAGTCAAGACAGAACTCCCCGACTTGGCTGCCTAGAACGCCGGATGCCGGCTCCCGTTCCGTGCTTCATCGTATTTATCATGTTCCTCTTATTCTCGGAGCTTAGACCAACGGCTCGCGTATGCAGACCATGTTTGGACGTAGGAAAGAAGATTGATTTGCAATTCATACGCCTCTGTCAACCTTCGTCGTTCAACCTCCCGTATTGTCCTCGTCATTACCTCCGTGGTGGACCCGGAAATACAAGCTGGGAGTCGTCACCACGCCTTATGGACCCCCCCTTCCCTCCCCGTAAAACACGATGCAAATACGGGGGCCGGGGCGCGCAGCTCAAGTCGCCCTTCCCAGACGGCCGGTCCCGGGCCAAGACCGCCCGAAAGCCCTCCCCCCATCTGCCTTGGCGCCTCCTGCATCAATACCGGTTACACGTGCGTGGGCCACGCGGATGGGGATTGCTTGATTTCCTTTGCCCGGTAGTAACCCCCGGGGATATGAGAAACAAGGAGTGGATGGATGGACATCACGCCTTCTTCTTCTCACTTCTTCATCCTTCGCCTTCTCTTGGTTTTGTTTTTGCAACTCCCAGCGCACGTACTAAGGTCTTGGCAGCGAACTAGGAATGTATACGTAGGACCTATCTACATACAACCGGGAATAGTTTCTCTCGAGAGACTTGAACCGTTTAGCCACTTTGCGGCGCTTGACGATAGAGGCTTCGTTTTCAGCCCATAGATTCATCCTCGCAGCTCCTCCCCCCAAGCCCTGTGGAACCCCCCCCCGCTTTTCTGTTGACTCCCAGGATGAGGAGGGCGTGTGTTAGTTATCATGGTTCTGCAGATAGTATCTACTTGGGGACTAGCAGCTCAAGGAATCTGAACCCCAATGTGAGTTGAGAACCAGGGCCCTGAGTGGTCGCTTGCTGTGAAAACATGGTTCTTTGAGAGGCCGCCTTGTAATTCAAGTTAGGCGTCGTCGAACGATCCCCGTCCCCGATCCTTACGTACGGATAATACCATATACGGGGGTGGGACACACCGCACGGGCCGGGAAGACTGGCCGAGTCGCCTCTGGCCCTGCTACCGCATACCCTTCCTTCCCTTGAACATCAATTCAGCCTCAGTATCCTTGAAAAGACGACGTGTAATTCATCATAACTCGAATCACCAGCGTCAAGCGAGAATGCCGCTGTTTGTAGTATAAAGAAGGAGTAGTAACAAAGGGAAACGAGCCACGAGCCCGGCCAGTCAATCACAAGCCGTTTGCAAGCGTTCTGCTCAGGGTTCCGCTGTTTGGTAGCCTACAGCCTTCTGTAAGGGCAGCAGCACAGTAAAAGCCAACTCACAGCAGTGGTATTTGGAAGTAAACGCGCGCAACGACATGTCTCAGCTTGACCCATATTGCCACTTTTTGCAACTCTTGGCTCCAGATTAACATCTCGGTCCCTATTCGAGCATGACTATTCATTACCTAGACACGGTACAGTACGGACTCAAAAAGCGGGTGCACTGCCGACGTTACATCCAAGGCCGGCATATGTCTTCTTACACTTACTTGCCTATCCCAGTCCCGTCCGCTCCATCATCATTCATCTTCCTTGCCTTTCTGGTCGTGATCATGCCAGGGGGAGAACAAAAGGACAGCTCATCAGCGAGCGTATACCCAATACCCCATACTCCAAGGATTGCATTGCATGTGCCCTAATCCGGCCAAGACAGGCGGAAATCTCACAGCGGGGCGGGCTCTTGGAGCTCCGGGATGACATGTCCGTAGCAAATGTTCGGAGTTATAATATGTACCAAGAAAGAGGAATCAATCGCTTGCTCGCTGCATCTAAGCATTTACGGAAAGCAAAGGTAAGCACGCAAAAAAAAAAAAAAAGCCGTCCCTGGTAAAAAAAACAAGCAGCTTCAAAGAACCGGGAGCTCGCTCATGATGCAAATCACACGCCTCCCAAGGCATCACCGCATCCCATCGCCGTCTCCTCTTTCTCACCCCTACCGTCTTACTGCCAACGAACAACTTCAAGACGCCAAAAAAAAACTCCACATACTACATACAAGGCCTCTCTGCCCCAACAACAGCCCTACATACGGAGCTCCCTGCCAAGGCCGTGTCCGGCCGGTCCCCATCCTTCGGCCATCTAGACTACCCTGCATTATCGTCACTACCTGTCTAAGTACTCCTCTGTAGTGCAAGTTTGCGGAAGTGCCAGATTCAGTAATAGCATCGCAGACCCATGTTCATGCATACTACAAGTATATCCAGAGAGGTAATACAGACCTGCTCGTCGGTATGTACTGCAAGGTACAGTGGGTTCGGTCACCGTCCGGCGAGTACATGGAAACTTGCTGAAACGAGCCGTTTCCATTCTCCTCTTCCAACTTCTCATCTTCCTGCTTGCGATGTCGACTTCCCGTGTGTCATAGCCGCCTGAATCGTGAGCTCAGCCAGGGCACGCGCGACTGAATCAGCATAAGCAATAGAGGGATCCAGAACAAGTAAGAACCACGATACGCTCTCTTACTCGACTCTTACATGCCATCCCTCCATCCCAATGTCCATCGTGATCTCCGGACCCATGGGCATCGCCAAAAGTAAACCGGTTTCTCAGTCAATCATTTGTAATTCGCCTTTTTGGCATCCCGACTGAGCAATGCCAAAATACTGCTAGTCCGTACCGCCATCGCCATCATCCCGGCTTTCCAGGTTTCCAACGCCTCGGGGAAAGTTGGAGAAACTCCACGCCGTAAGCCTGTACGTATGTATAACACGAGCAATCCTTTGCGGCCTTTTCGCCGCATCCCGTTTCGCCGCACCGTCGGGAATCTTCCCTTCCTGCAGCCTTTTCCCTACAGCACCACCTTTTGTGACATCAACAACTGGCTCCGGCAGGCATCTACTGCTTTAGACTACGAGATAGGCTGCCAGACATCCGGGCCGTTTAGGGTGACAAAGAGACATCCCGAGATGACAAAGGCATGAGCAATTAGAGCAAAGCTTTACCTCCTCCATGTTATACCATCACCAACTACCCGTAGTCCTCATCAAGAAATTTGGAATTGCAAAAAGTGAACCCCCAAGCTATCACAGATTATTACACGACCGTATCTCGATCCAGCGCAGTCATTTCGATGAAGGAATCCACTCCTTTCTGACTGACCTCGTCGTCTCCCGCACTGGCCGTGTCATCCTCGCTCTCGGCGCCGAAATCCTTCGTCTCCTGCAGACCCGTCCGTACCTACTCGTACGAGACTGTACGTACCTACATCTTTTGTTCCCCCACGTAAGGAACCTTTTAAGCCACACTGGCTAAACGAAGACGATGGGAGGCAAAGCAAAGTCCTTCGACTAGGTCATACCGCCTGCAGCATCTAGAAGATGGGAGCATGATGAACGATCCCAAACTTACACGTGATCGCTGTTTGACTGAGGCTCTTCATGCTCCAGCTGTCACACCGGCATCACTGAAGTACATCAGCAGCAGTAGTGAGAACGTCTCGTTAAGGAGGGATCACGAAAAGGCATCGCGGAGTGCCAGACCAACCATCGACATCGTACTTAGTGTCCCACCTGAAATATATATCACGCGCTCTATCCGCACTTTTTTTCCGCCCAAGGCGCAACGTATACCGCATCTGTATAGCTTTCCCAGCTTCTGCAGCAGATCCTCCAAGGGAGAAAAAAAAAAGGTGGGATGAATCCTTCGTCCACCGCATCGGAGAGACAGTGCCGGGTACTCGAAGGATCGAAGGAAGAACCCCCAGCTTCCATCGCTCCAGTCTGGCGTTCCATATGTGGTAAACTGCACGCCCCCTTGCACCGGGAATAAAGGAGGAAGTGGAAGACCAGAGTCCAGCTTCATATCAGTCAATGACTTCCCATGTCTTTGGCCTTGCTTCTACCCCTTCCCACCCTTTCGTCGCCTTTGACCTCTTCCTCGTCCTTGTGCTCAGGTAAGCAGTTCGAGTGCGCTGCATCACACCTCAGTCGTGGCTAGGCTCCCTTTGCGTAGGGCTCCTGCCTGGATCAATGGTATCAAGTCATCAAAGGCAGACACCATCCCGCCATACATGGGTTGAATACCATGTAGGCGGCTATAAAGTGCTGTTATCGGCCGAACGCAGAGGCATCGTAGCCTCTCTTCGGCCGAGCAAAACCCGCCTCGAGAGGGGGGCGTGTAGCTCAAACCCATGCTGCTGAATAAGTCAAGAAGCCAGGGGAGACGACTCCAGAGGCCACTTATCAGCGCAAGACAGCAAAAGCAATGAAGCAATAGTCAAAGGCACAGCGAAACTAATTGCTGACACTGATCGGATCTCCGCCAGTCAAAGCCATCGTTGGTTGGCAGTCTGTACAAACGAGCACAGGGACAGCGAATGCTAGCATCGAATTAGACTTCAGATCCCTCAGCTTCTGCGTATCTCATGCCCATAGCCCCGCTTGGCCCGGTCATGAAAGCAAAGCAGCCAGGGAATCAAACAGAACAAGGCTGAGCATATCGCAGTCGTTCCATAACAATAATCAAGCTGTCCAGACCGGTACGCATTTACGAGATGCCGAGAAGGTGACATTCTTCAGCAACATGCCTTAGTGAGAGGACCGCTCCTTTCAGCCCTGTGGCCGCTGCCCCCCAGCCAGCTAGAAAGGGAGACAAGAAGACGTGAAGGCGAGACAAAACCAGCAATTGATTGGGCGACAACGGTCCCCCTCCCTGTACAGCCCTGGTCCTAGCGTTGGGGATGAGTTGGTGCGGCTACCGTTAGCCAATCATGCCGGGCCAGTCTTGCTTGTCCCTCACGCACGCCCCAAGGTCCAATGGGAGGGAACAATGAACAAGCTGCCCGTCCCAGCTCGAGTAAGCAGGGGGGGGCACAGATGCTGCCTATGTTGCCTAGCATGAGAGGCTTTGTCTGCAAAGGAAGGTAAGGTAGGATAGGATAGGAGCTAAGCTCCGGGTGTCAGTAGTACTTGTCCTCCGCACTCTGAAGGCTCGAGCTCAGAGGTCTTCAGCAGCCAGAGCCCTACAGCAGGGCTGCCTTAACTCATTTGGGTCAAGGACTGGACCAGATCCTCACAGCACAACCTATCGCGAGGGGCAAGCAGAAAGATTCTGCCCCTCCATCCGGCTGGGCCTGTGGTCGTTGGAGGGGCCTGAGGTCAGGGAAGCTGTTGGGTGAAGTGACCTATCAACAACAAGCTGCGTCCCTCACCTCGGTCCCGAGGCTTCCTCAATCTCTTCTGTCCGCATATCTCGGCTCTGGTGCCCCGCGCCTGTCTCTCGGCAATGATGCTTAGTGTCGAGCCAGCTGGACTATTGGGATTGTTTTGGGACAAGATCGAACAACGAGCCGCCAAACAAGGTCAATCAGGGAGAAAGGGAGAGGAGGAAAGGGGAGAGAGAGAAGATGATTGACCCATGAATGGGCGACGCAAGTGACCACATGACCGGCATCTCCTGCGCCAATGTCCATCCTCTCACCCTGCCAAAACGCCCAGCTGAACGTTGGCCTTCACTCCCCCCTTTGTTACGTTCACGTGTGCGTGCGTGCGGGTGTTAAACCTCACATGCGGCCGACTGCCTTCCTCCTTGTCGATAGTTGTGTGCGCCGCATGGGGTTTGTTCCGTAGTGCGCGCGCATAATCGGCCAATATTCTGCGTCAATCTCGAGATTTCCAACCTTCAGCTCGGCTTGTGCTAGTCAGCGCGATGGCGGCAACTCTGGGACAGTCCGCCCACGTTATGCCCGTTGGGGCATGCTGCTCATGCTGGTTTGGGCCTCTTCCTCCGCCAGCCAGTCGTTGACTGCCGTCTGCTCTGCCGTAACGCAAATCACATCCCCAAGCCAGCCTGACCGCACACTCACACACACACACACACACAGGCAGCCAGTAATAGGAAACAGATAGCCCAGGGATGAGTAGCCTGTTGGGCTATCGAAGCAACTTTGTCCGCTTCCCGTGTTGCTGCGAGTCAAGCTCTGCCGCCGTGGCAAATGCTTCCTCCCGGCCCAGCGTGTCATCAATGATGCCTTGTTCAGCCCTGCCGATACAGCTCATCTCGGAGCAAAGGCGATTTTGATTGCTTGATTGCGACGCAACCAGGGCAGCCTCCCAGAAACTCACTAGTCCGCCACGCAACGGCTCTAAGCCACGCACGCCTCTGAGGTCGTCGAGACACTACTAATCCTCGTACCAAGCAATCCGACAAGCCGTTTGCCTATTGTAATGCATCATCAAATACCCACAAAGCCATGGGCTCCAAGGCGTGGTTGATCTCGGAAATTGACTAATATCCCGCGGACACATGGCAGATAGACCTACCTCTCCTTCCGCCCTCAGCTGGGAGCCTTGTCAATATACGAGAATACTGCTGGAAGGGCCATCGCCAGGAAGATGCGCTGCCTCAGCCAATCTCATTTCTCCAACAAAATTGCCGTGAATAAAGGCACGCGTACTGTAGTCTGACCATTCGTTCTTCTCACCGAAATGGTCATCCCTGGTTCGGCGCCTGGACGCGTCCACACTCGCCGCCCAAAGCAGTCACCCAACAGAGCGTATGCAGTCGTGGTGGTTCACCAGTGGTACGACCGTGGGCCGACGGACGGCGTGCGAATACTCTGCCCAACAAGTACACGTTATGCCATCATATCTGACAGCCGCGTCGATTGCCGTCGTCGTGTCTCAAGCCGTTTCGCCCGCCCGCAGTAGGACCGACATGATATAAGGCAGCAGACCGCACGAGACGAGATCTTCAGGGGTGTTCCCATCTCGCATGCAGCACATAGAGCAAGGCGATCTTCCGCATCAAAGGAATCAGACACGGCCCAGCGTTGCATCTCCAGTTGATTTGCACCAGCACGCGCTCCAATGCCCTGGGACTCTGCATATATCTGCAACAGGCCACGGCTAAGCGATCGGAGCAGAGGCACGCTTGGAGATGCACTCTCCGTCCCGTCGCCCCCGCTTATCCCGGACCGCTTGGGGCTTGCCACTCTTTTTTTGCTTCAGCCAAAGTGCATCATCCATCCCTGCATCTCTCCCTTCCGCCGCCCACCTGAAGCCTTATTAGTAACGGGTCCATGGGAAAAAAACCTTTGGGGCCAACCCCCTTCTCCTTTGGGGTCAGCTCGCCAGCATTCTCGCGGCGCGAGCGATCCATGGCATGTGGGGAACCCCAAACTTCATATCGGCATTGTTACCCTTCTGCCCACCCTTCCCTCCCATCTCGTCTTCGTACCCATGCCCATGCTTCTCCCAGGTTGCCCGTGTTGGCTTAGCTGTCCAGTCCTTGGGAGCATCTTGTCAGACCGCCGTCTAGAATGCTTCTAGCGCTGCCTGCTAGACCACATGGCGCCTAGGCCATCTACTGAAATTTGCAAGATAACCGGGCCATGCTGTCATCCCTTTTCCGCCGGCTATATGGCCACTGCAAGTGCAAATACGGTCCCGTTTGTAATATGTAGTAGTAGTTGTAAACAGCTCGTTGCCTGCTGCGTGTTGTCGTGGATGCGAAGGGGGATGTACCTACTTGTAGTCCCCAGTAAGCGGATAGCTGGACCATTCGTCATTGGGCAGTGGTGTCGTCTCGACTGTTCGAAGACATCACGAGTGCTGCTCTCATATTGATCTTGTCCAAGGAGGAATTCGTGCATTGTCCTTGGCCCACGCCTCGGAATCAAGTCCTGGATACAGGTGATGTATGTGTGTTATGTGTGTTTGCAGCAGCTATCGTGCCGCTGCTGACCTCATCACTAAGGCTGCCCTCGGGCTGTTCTCGTGGCGAGCACATGGGCCTTCTAACGTTGCCGCGCGCATGGCCTGCCCTATCGATCCAAGATCAACGTGCTGCGGCGTCTTTGAGATTTGCTCCCATAAGCTTCCAAAGAGCTTGCAAGCTTCCTATCCGCCAACTTGGTTCGTGGTGGGAGTAGGACTTTGCAGGTGTTTCCGAATGAATTAGTGGTGTCTGTAAGCCCTTTCCTCGCGGCGCCGGCAGTTGGGACGGCGCGCATCCAAGTGGCAACGGCTTTCGATTCGGTCGTCGGAGCCTCGGGACCCTCCTTTGGCTTGTCTTCGGTCCGTACATGCATACGAACAAGCGAATGGGAGGTAGACGTTGACATCGAGGATGGAGCTCGTCGTCCAGCAGCCCCGGTTTTTCCCCCTTGGGCTCCGTCGAACTTGGTCGACAGCAATTTGGTTCCTGAGCCTTTGTGGACCAGGCTACGGGGACCTTGACGACATCCTGGTCGGCGACCTCCCAAGCCCTCATGCTCTTTCTCGAGTGTATGGTTCTGTCGTGACATCTTCGGCTTCCTCGTGTAAGACACGCCGACTAGCCCGCCGCCGTGATTATCATCTGCGGGCGTCGTGGATCTCCATCAGCAACGCACTGACTAGGCGTGCGAGCAAAGAGACGAGGCGTTCACTCGTTCACCCGTTCACCAGCGCAGATGCGAACCCGTACGTGGTCCCTGCATTGAGGCCAAAGAGAAACAGTCCGGCATGTTCAACTCAAGCCGGCTCGTTGCTGTCCGTTGATCCTTATCCATTGCCAGGACGAGGGGGCCAACCCCCCTTGGCGGACTTCCAGCCCTACGGATCACGCTGTGACACAGGAGGCGCAAATGCGTTTCTGCAAGTGGAGAAGCGCAGACGAATGGTTCGCGCCACACTCTTCGGGCCTCCAGGGATTGTATGCATTTTCGTACGCAATGTACATGGCTGCAAGAAGCAACAAACCTTGCCAACCATGCCTTGCGGTGCATTGCGTGTCTTCAATGACGGCGTAGTGCATAATTGCCCGACACACCGGTTCGCAATGGCCACTTTCGACGAGCCTTTTGCCTAGCTGCATCTTTGCCAGAAGGGTTGAATCTGGCTGTCGAACTCTCCTCACAAGGTCACACTCGAAGGTAATGTGATGCATCGCCTTTTGCTTGACTCAAGTTCTCTCCACACGCTTCCACCGCAGTGGAAAATCTCCCGTCTCCCTTCGCCCGAAGTGTCGAGATGTTGAGACAGATGGCCGAGGGAAATCGCCATTGCTAGTATTATTAGCAGTACCGGACCGCCTGGC